CATGGGTGCTCAGAGCCCAGCAAAGCCAGGCTGACGCTGCTGTGGATGGGGACGTGCTGCCACGGGATGGCACCGTGGTGGCAGCAGGCTCCATGGGAAGGGCCTGGCTCAGGCTGATTCAGAGCAATTTGCTCCTAATTCCCCTCGTGTCCTAAGTGGAGGGAGGAGCAGGGTGGTTGTAGGTGCCATTGCCATGCGTTGCCCTCCCGCCCTGTGGAAGTGCTTCCTGCCCAGTGCATGGCTTCTGGGCCATCATGCCTGGTCACCCGCAAGCATCATCCAGGTCCTTCCCATGTGGGACAATGCACTATTCCCATGGCAGAGAAATGCTCTTCCAGCATCGTTCATACAGAGATAGGGACCTGCCAACACAGAGCCTTAACCCCTGCGCACTTGGGCATTGGCATGAGGCCTCAATGCCATGGGTTAGTGGTGGCCTTGGGGTAATGGTTGGACTTGATGCTCTTGAAGGTCTTTTCCAACCTGGTTGTTTCCATGATTCCATGACACCAGTGAATGAACTCCTTGGCATCTCTATCAAGGGCATAGCCAGGAGCAGAACGCTCTCTAGCTCGTGGAAGAGACACCATGGCAATGCCATTCTCTCTGTGGGGTTTGTGTCATGCAGCACGGTTGTACCCCCAAATTGGGGTGCATTATGCTGCTGCCTGTGCCCAGTATATCCCAAATACAGCCCTGAAGTGTCTGGGGCTCTCCCAAACCCTCCAGCTCCAGGGACCCATAAAGCCGTGAGAGCAGCCCTTGGGGTGATGCAGCTTCCGCACCGCTGTGCCTCGCTGCAGAGGGCCTGCAGGGACTTGCTGCCTCTCCTCCCTCTTGTCAAATTTAGCTCCAGACCATGGGGCTGCCTCTCATTCACAACCCACTGCATCACAGGGACGTCTTGCGCGGTGGCAGCGGCGGGACGGGGGAGGCAAAGGTTGGCTCCAGCAACCCCTCCTCTCCCAACCACGCCGCTGCGAGCCCAACCCTGGGAAGACCGATGCGGAGCGTGATCTCATCTGCCTTTGTACCCTATCTGCAATCTTGGGATGGTGCCTGAGCCCTTAATGAAGGCTGGCACACCCTTCCTAGCTTGTTACACCCCCTTCCAAGCTCAGCAACCCTGGGGTCATTGACTTCTTGGGAGACCGCATGGAGATGGATGAGCGCCAAGCATCCCGCAGCCCCTCTGCCTGGGGCTCCAAGGGCTCCCTGGGGTAACCGGGCCCCATGAAGTGCTCCATCAGGGCTGAAATGCAGCCTGGCACCGAAGGCATGGTGCTGGGATGGGTGGTGGCTGTCCCTGTGCCATTCGCATGTGTAGTAAGGGAGTCGCCCATGGGAGGGAGCTCATAGCCACGTTGTTGTCTAGGGGCACCTGGGGCTGTCCCCACTCTGTTGTCATTCTTTGAATGGAGCTTCCCTGTTTGAAAAGCAGCTTTCTCTTTCCTCGTGGTGGGCAAACGTGACTGCACTCTGCAGCCAGTGGCAGCCCACATGAGACACATGAGGACAGTGTCAAAACTAAGCTTAAACCAAATTTTCTGCAGGAAGACTTTTTGTCAATGCCATTTCCTACACTTTGGTGTTGCAAAGCCCCAAGAACTCACAGATCATAGAATCATGGGATGGTTTGGGCTGGAAAGGAGCTTAAAATCATCTAATTCCAACCCCGTTGGAATCAGATGGCCTTGAGCACTGCAAGGATGGGGCAGCCACAGCTTCCCCCTTCAACCCATTCTAGCTCCTCAACACCCTCACAGGGAAGAACTGCCTCCTTATATCCAATCTAAATCCCCCCCTGTTTCAGTTTGAACCCATCGCCCCTTGTCCTGTCACTGGTGAAGGCCCCTCTCCAGCATCCTTGTAGCCCCCTTCAGACACTGGAAGCTGCTCTGAGGTCCCCACGCAGCTTCTCTTCTCCAGGCTGAACAGCTCCAGTGTTCTCAACCTGTCTCCTATGGGAGCTGCTCCAGCCCCTGCTCATCCTCATGGCTCTAAATCACTTCGGTTGTAAAAGGGGAAAAAAGCCTTTTGGGGGAAGCTAAATGCAAATTTATGCATAGGAAGAGAAGTTCTGGTTTGTTCTTTTGCTGTTGATCAGAGGAGGTCCAACCCCAGTGCAAAACCCTCTGTATAACCCTGCACTCCCCATTCAGGTCCCTGCGTAACGCCCGTGGAAAGCAGAGCTGCGCACTGACCTACATACACCTTTCCCAGGCACGCTGGTAAACATCCTCCTGGGGGAAGGATAATGAGGGAGGCTCCTTGGGGAGCGCAGCAATTCCAGAGAACAGGAATGACCGGAAGAAATCCTCACCCTCCACCCACTCCTGAACAGCCCGCAAGGAGCTTGCGCCGAGCTGCTGCTACCGGTCCCATCCGCGCCCGTCGGCTGGTTGATGCAGGTGAACAGGGTGAGTCTCTGAGGGCTCCTTTTTGGGCTTGAAAGGAGCTTTTATGTATTTAGGGTCATTTTGTAACAGGAGCACCGGGGTCTAAAGGCACAAGTGCAGGATGAACTGGTCGGGCTCCCTCCACCCAGCCCTGAGTGGAGAAACGGCACTTTCCTTTCGCTGCAAGAGCTGATTCATCCAACCCAACAAGTGCCTGTGATGGCTACAGGGAGCTTCAGCCTTTTAATTTAAGCAGGGACAGGGAAAGTGGGGAAATGAAGTGAATTGAGGTGAAAGTCCTGAGGAACCTTCAGCAAAGGGAAGTTTTACCTTTAGTAAGGCTCAAGTGAACTGAATGTATTTTAAGCTATTGGAAATGAAAGTAGGGGTTTTCCTGCAGATCCGTCCCTTGCCAACTTGTTGTGTCCTCAATGCCTTCCCTTTTCAGGACCGGAGACATGTCTAAGCTCATTAAAGCCATCACTGACATGATGGAGAGTTACCAGGGCAATGCCAAGAAGGGGAAGAAATCTGAGCCCTTCAGTAGAAGTGAGTTCAAGAAGCTGATCCAGCAGGAGTTTGCTCCAGTCAAGGTAACTGTATGGCTTTGAGGGTGCAAAGGTGGATGGCAAAGGTGCTGGGCTGATATTTAGGGGTGGTTGGGGGTGATGAGGGGTTCTGCAGCACCCACCCCACATCGGGCTCTGTGCATCCTCCTTTGCTCGCTGCAACTCTCCTTTTCTGCTGCATTGCCCTTGCAATAAGGGGACCTGGCCTTCACTTCACCACCTTGCCCCTTTGGGAAGGTCTGATGTGCTCCTGTCCCCTCAGAGGTCACCCACCAGCAAGTACAGGTACATCACCAGCCCGCCAGATTCGGACACCGAGCCCATCAACAAGAAGAAGAGGGGCTCTACCAAGCACTGTGTGTACTGAAGGGTGGCTGCTGCTGCTCCTGGGGCACAGGGATGAGGAGGTAAGGAGGAGCTCAGGGGATGCAGCGCACAGGCAAAGCTCCTGGACAGCATTTGCATTGTTTCCTAGGTGGGGACAGATCCTTCCTTGGGACCAGTGTCACCCCAAACCGGTGTGGTGGTTGTGGGTGAATTCCTCCATAGGTTTTCTTCCCTCTCTTATAGGATCCCTGACTTGCCCTGTGAGTGAAGGGCAGAGGCACCAGCAACATGTGGGCATGGTATGATCACCTTCTGGGCTCCCTCTGCTCCTTCACTGCAGGCAATGCCTGTCCTTGCACTGGTGGTGGTGAAGATGTGAAGACCATGCCCTGCTCCATATATTACCTCCATGAGGCAAAAATAACCCCAGGTCTCTTGTTTAGTCCTGATGCTCCACGGGTGTCTCTTTGGGGTGCTTTGCAACTGCAGTTTGAAGGCTGGGTGGGTTCAGGGGCAGATTTGCTGCTTTCTTCTCATCAACGCAACGGTAGAGCGATGGCTGACCCATCAACCCCTTCCTCTGTGAGCTCCTTTTGGTCTTAATGGGTAGAAAGTGAGAAATCACTAGGCAATAGGGCTGGAATGAACCATGCAATTAGTTGACTCAGGCTCTGCATTCATCATGAGCAGAGAGTGGCAATTCTTCAGGGCAAATGGGAGGTCTATGGTTGGGAGTTCATCCCCAGCTCATTGGAAGTCAACAGCAGGGTTCCCACGGGTGTGCAAGGGGACCAGAAATGCTCTGCAGCGTGTAGAGGGTGTTTGTACCTATGTCTTTGTGCAATTAACCCGTACAAGGACAGGTTAATAGCAGTATAGTACAGGCAGTGCTATTGGTAGCGAGTGGCCAGAGGAGGAGGAAGCAGGACTGCATTACTCAGCCATGTTAAGTCAAGCTAATGAGTGCAGGATCTGGGCCTTCAGCTGAAGGGGTTAATACATCAGCTGCCTTACCTGTGATGTTTCTGCATTGCAAATATCCCAAAGGAACTTTTTTTAGGGCTTATTTTTCTCTTTCTTACATGAATGATTGTAATACCATCAAAACCCAATAAAAACCATCCAACATGACGCTTGTCTGAGCCTCCCTGGGTAGGAGGGGGCTCAAAGCTGTTGTGATGGGGAAGCCTCAAGGGGGTGGGGCAGGAATGCAAAGCACTGGGAGTGTGGGGGCATGGGGGACACCCGCAATTGGTGGCATTGGTGTGGGATGGCGAGATGCTTTTATGCTTTCCCATCACTTGGGATTCATCGGTCTCGGCTGATGGTTGTAAGCACCCAGGGATGATCCACACCAACTGTGGCTTGTGATTGGAGCATCACAAGGCCTCGGAGAGAAAGCAACTCTGCACAAATGGCATGAGCATGTTTGTTAATCTCATTGAGCCCCTGTATGGAAAATAGGGATGAGGAGGTTAAGGAAGCACCAACACAAGAGAAGTCTTGCGAACTCAATGCTTTATTTTCTCATGGGCACCTCACGGGGCCAAAGCACAGCCTGGGTCATCAGGCAGAGGCGGCAGCAGGACCACAAGTGATGCCCTTTCCCCAGGGAGCGATGGTCCTGGAGGGCAAAGGAGAGGGTTTGCAGCCTGGGGCTTGCAAAGCTTTGGGGAGACCAGAGGGAGCTGGTCCATGCGTGGCCTTTGTGGCTGGAGCTGGGGCGGGTGGGACAGCCCATCACTTCATCTTCTGCGAGGGCAGCTGGTGGACCTGCTGCTGCTGCTGCTGCTGTTGCTGCTGCTGGTGGTAGTGGTACTGGACCTGTGGCTTCCCGTGACAGCCACCACCACTGGAGCTATGGCACCCACCGCTGCCACCGGAGCTGTGACAGCCACCGCCACCGCCGGAGCTATGGCAGCCACCGCCGCCACCGGAGCTGTGACAGCCACCGCCACCGCCGGAGCTATGGCAGCCACCGCCGCCACCGGAGCTGTGGCAGCCTCCACCGGAGCTGTGGCAGCCGCCGCTGCTCTGCTGGGTGTAACGCTCCTGCTTGTGGCACTGGTCCCTGTCCTGGCGGGAGCACATGGCTGTGGTTTGGGGTGATCTGCTGGGAGAGGAGAGCCGTCAGGCGCTGCTGCGTGCCCCATCACCCCCATTGCTGACCCTGTGCCTGTCCCGTTTGCAATCCCACCCCCAGCACTGCTATGCAGGATCCCAGAGGCCTGGAGCATCCCCTGATGGAGGATCCCAACAGCTGCTTGGTATGGCCCAGCATAAGACAGGTCCTCACCTCCCTCCATGCATCCCACCACCCTGCAAGCATCCCAGCAGTGGGGTTTGCACTGAACCTGTGTTCCGCATCCCATGCAAGGAAACCAGCCCCCAAAGAAGCAGTATCCATCCGTGTGGCCAGACTTACCTGAGCTTGGGAGGAAAGGAAGCGGAGGGAATGAAGATCCGAGGGACAGGAGCAGTTTTATAGAGATCTGGGATCCCTTTCCCCGGAAATGAGACAACTCTCTGTCACAGCCAGCTATTAGTTTAATACCCAATCCCCATCAAACCGCCCTCTGTTTACATTGCTCGCTTGACTCATTCCTGATGGCTATCATTCCTTTTCTATCTGTTTCCTGGGTGCCACATCAGTATCTAATTGCCAGCCTCACCTGCCTGTAATAGGAAAAACCGTGGGTGCCTGCATTTCCAAAGGCTCAGCTCTTTGAGATGTGTTTTGTTCAATGAAATCCAGGTATAATTATAGCCCGGTCCCATAAGGCTCTGCTCTCAGAATCTAATCCCTGCTATTGAAGTGGCACCAGATAAAGCCAGAAATGATCCAGGTAAAAAGGAGTGTAAAGTTGTTCTTCCTTCTTCCCTAGATGATCTGATGATCTTCTTCCGCAGATGATCGTAGGGACTGAATGAGGTGCTGCAGCCATGGGTACAAAGCCCTCCTGGGCTTCCTGTAGAGAAGGCCTCATGTATTCAGCAGGGGTTTTCGAGCTCCCCTCCTAGACCTAAAGGGTGTGAATTCCCCCCAAAAGGCACCTGAGCAGCCAGAAGATGATCCTGGGGACTGCTGAAGTCCTGCTATGTTCACATACATCAACGCAAGGTCATCGAGTGCTTCATTGACAAAGACAAGCAATTTCCATCCTCTTAATGACAAAGATCAGGAAATGAAGACTGAGGAATTAAAAGACCCTTTTGGTGCTGCCTGCTTCATTGGTCCCTCTTTTGGAGCAAGGCTGGAGCTCCAGAGATGGCCCTTCTTTATAGCCATGTCCTGGTTGGAAAGCTTCATCATCCCCCAGCACTTCGAAGTGCGTTTATCTCCAGAGACCACAGCTCCTTATTTACAGAGTAAAGGCAAGAAGAAGCCTGAGACATAGAAGATAACATTGAGAGCCATGCAAACAGACACGAAGATCCACCTCTCTGCTTTGGCAGCTCTCAGTGGGAGGAAGGGATAGCATCAGGGCTTGGACTGTTTGAGCTGAAAGCCAATGTCTTACCCAAGACGCACGTCAACTAGCGCTATTATCACTTATTATATATCAATGTATCAATTATTTATCAATTATTTTATATCAAGCTGCACCAGGGGAGGTTTAGGTGGAGCTGAGGAGCAATTCCTTCCCCAAAGGGTGATCAGGCATTGGAACAGGCCGCCCAGGGCAGTGCTGGAGTCACCGTCCCTGCAAGTGTTCACACACAGTGGAGACAAAGCCCTCAGTGCCATGGGTTAGTCATGGCCTTGGCAGTGCTGGGGAATGGTTGGACTTGATGATCTTAAAGGTCTTTTCCAAGCTGTTTGTTCTATGATTCTATGGTTCTATGTCATTCTGCTCAGCATCACTAGTGGCACTGAAAATTCATTCCTTCCTGCTTCTCCTACACAAACACCCATAGTCAAAGTCTTGAGCTGGCCTCAGGGTCCCTGTGTCCTGCCCATGGCCCAGCTTGAGCAGAGAGGGATGTGGTGACCATGGGCTGAAACCTGCCCTAGGGCATGACCAGCTCACATCTATCACATGTGTATGGATGCTGGAACTGTCCATCAGGAGCCTCCCAGCTGGTGGCGGTGGTGTCTGTCTACCCAAGGGGGTAGTGATGGGGAGGACTGCGAAGCATTCACTGAGGTCATGCAATCTCACACAGAAACTGGTGCCTGCACTTGTAATTAGCAGAGGAACTGGGCAGACACCCACTGAGAGCTGTGTGTGCTGCAGGCAAAAGCCATCAGGCTGCTGGAGCAAGTGTGTGCATGCACTGAAGGGGCTGGTTCCACTGTGGGCTGAACACTATGTCCACAGGGCTTCTTGCTGCTGCTACGTGCATCCCTCCCACCAGCCAGAAGAATAAGCAGTGACTGAAGTCTCAAGGACAAATGAATTGCTGGGCATGAGTCCTGTGCAAGCAGGTTTTGTCTTTTGCGGAGGATATTGTGTCTTGCCCATGTTAGGAGTGATGTTCTGCACAGGAGGGTTTAATGCTCATTTGCTTTACAGGTGATGATCTCACTCATTCAATGAGAAAGGACAATGGGAGGATTTGCAGTTTCAAGTTTGCTTTGCAGTCCTCAGCCTCCCCGGTGTCTTAGCTCAGCTTTCAAAAGCAGAAACCACATAGGAATGGCACCAGAGAAGCCTCTGTCCTTTTTCATTGAGGTTACAGGAGAAAAAGAGATCTTTAAACACTCAAAACCCTCATAGGCAAAGAAAAGGAACCTCAACAAATAGGACTTGTGATTGCTTAGAGGGATTTCTTGGGATGAATGGGGTTGCACTCACGGATCCCCTCACCCAAGGGGATGGATTTGGCTTCTCTCTCTACCAGCTCTTCCCTTGACTCTTTGCATCCCTTATTCCAGCCCATGGAGGCAGATAGGTGCTGAGTTCAGCATGATGAGCTCCAGAAAACACAAGAAGTAAAGAATTCACTGAATTAAATTGCATGGATTTATGCAGCAATGTCATTTGGTTTCCTTGTGCACGCGTGCTGAAGGGCTGGGTGCTTTCTTTTCCCCTGGTTAAGATATATGAACTGCAGGTAACTGTAGAGGTCCTGTATTCCCCTACACCCAGTTGTGCCGCTGTAACATGAACATTAAGAAGAGGACAAGGGAAGTCTTGCTAATTCAATGCTTTATTGTCTCATGGGCACCTCATGGGGCCAAAGCACAACCTGGTGCATCAGGCAGAGGCAGCAGGGACCACAGGTGATGCCCCTTCCCCAGGAAGCTGGAGGGCAGAGAAGAGGGTTTGAAGCCGGGCAGCCCCAAAGCTTTGGGGAGACCAGAGGGAGCTGGTCCATGCGTGGCCTTTGCTGCTGGAGCCATTGGGTGCTCCATCACTTCATCTTCTGCGAGGGCAGCTGGTGGATCTGCTGCTGCTGCTGCTGCTGCTGGTAGTGGATCTGTGGGATCCCATGGCAGCTGGAGCCACCAGAGCTATGGCATCCACTGCTGCCACCGGAGCTGTGACAGCCACCGCTGGAGCTATGGCAGCCACCACCACTGGAGCTATGGCAGCCACTACCACCGGAGCTATGGCAGCCACCACCACTGGAGCTATGGCAGCCACCACCACTGGAGCTGTGACAGCCACCGCTGCCACCGGAGCTGTGGCATCCACCACCAGAGCGGTGGCATCCACCACCGGAGCTGTGGCATCCACCACCGCTGCTGTAGCGCTCCTGCTCATGGCACTTGTCCCTGTCCTGGCGGGAGCACATGGCTGTGTTTTCAGGTGACCTGCAGGGAAAGAGGAGCTGTCAGGGGCTTTCCTGCCCTGCTTCTGCTCTCAAAGAGCAGGGAAATCTGGAGGTGCCTTTATCCGGTCTTACCCAGATCCCCACAGTCATCTCTAAGCCTTGTGCCAGCTTCTCACCACCCATGGGATTGACCCACCAAAGCCATAGCCGAAGACACTCAGAGCATCCGGAGCAACTGAGCAAGGCGAACGTGGCTTTCCAGAGCAGACTCGTGTTGCTCCCAGAGAGAGAAGAAGAACACCCCAGAGGCTCCCTTCAAGCCCATATCTCTCTGTTTGCATTCAGCACCCTCTGCACCCCACGTCCCTACTCACAGAGCAAGCCCCAACCTAGTTCAAGGTGCACAAACCCATCTGCCTCCCGTGCTGCATCCAGCCCCAGAGCCCCGCAGCATCGCTGCTCTTACCTGAGATGCTCGTGCAGCAAAGGAGCAAGGAGGGAATGAAGCTTCCCTGGATGGGATCGCTTTTATACCCTCTCGGTGCACCCCATCTGGAAAGGAAGCCCCTCCCTGTCACAGAGATCTGATGGTTCATTTGATTTGTTGATGGCTTTTTTTTTGGCCTCCCCACTCTGCAGGTTGCTGGTGTGACTCACCCCATCCGTGTTGGGTATCGCCTCCTTATAGGTCGTCATTCCTGTGCCGCAGAAACACTTAATTGCCAGCTCTACATGTGCTTAGTTCCAATGAGGGAGTGATGTGGGTGGCCCTGGTCTCCACATCTGTGCTGGTTTGGTTTTGGTGTTTGGGAGTGCTTTGTGTTAAGGGGGGGAGATGAGGTTGTACACCTAAATCACACCATCCTTTTGAAACGTTTTGAAGTGATCTAGTCCTGCCAATGCACATAAAGCCAGAGATATGTCTACAAGTAGATGCTGGATTGGAGCCAGAGAAGGGCAATGGAGCTGGTGCAGGGTCCGGAGCCCAAGTGTGATGAGGAATGGCTGAAGGACCTGGGGAGTTCAGATGGAGAAGGTTCATGGGGACCTTATTGCTCCCTACAGCTGCCTGACAGGAGGAAGGAGCCAGGAGGGGCCAGGAGGGGCCTGGGCTCTGCTGCCAAGGAACAAGGGATGGGACAAGAGGAAATGGCCTCAAGCTGCACTGGGAGAGGTTTAGGTTGGATGTGGGGAAGAGTTTGTCCACCTAAAGGATGCTCAGGCATTGGAACAAGCTGCCCAGGGCAGTAGTGCAGTCATCATCCCTATAGGTATTCACACACCGTGGAGACGAGGCCCTTTGTAACATGGGTTAGTGGTGGCCTTGGCAGTGCTGGGGAAGGGTTGGACTTGATGAGCATCAAGGTCTTTTCCAACCTGATTGATTCAATGATTCTGTGATTCTAAGTACCAATAGCACCTTTGCCAACCTTAACAGCAATTTGACTGCAACCACTGTTGGCTCATTTCTCTTAAAAGCAGCTGAAACATAGAATCATGGAATAGTTAGGGTTGGGAAGGACCTTGAGACCATCTTAAGATCATCCAGTTCCAACCCCCCTGCCATGGTGAAGAGAGATTGAAGCCAGCTCCCATGAATCTTTCCTGTTGGTCAAACCTTTCCTGCTGTTGCAAGAAGGCCCAAACGCAGTCGGGATTCTTATTTTTGGAAGGGGGAAGACTGGTCCTCGGTAGTGATCCAGGATTAGCAGGGTACATAATTATGTGGTGAACTTTCAGACAGTGAGTAATGCTGGAGTAGCAGCACTGGTGGATTCTTTCCAAGTTGTGAGTGGTTTCAGCGCTGCCAGGGCTCCCATGGGGGCTGCCCTTGGTGACACATGGTGGCCTTGGGTGGCTGCTATGTTGTGGGGAGCTGGTAGACCCCAAGGACTTTCCCCAGACTTGTAGGAACGTTTGTTTTGGAGCACTTTTCCCCTTTCCACAATTAGCTTGTGATTGGCCAACAGTTCTGAGAGGTATTTGGAGGGATGCATGGACACTTGGAGCACTGTGTGCTGTTTTGGTGTCCTCAGCATAAGGACATGGATCTGTTGGAGCAAATCCAGAGGAGGCCACAAGGATGAGCAGGGGCTGGAGCACTTCCTGTATGGAGACAGGCTGAGACTAGTGGGGCTGTTCAGCCTGGAGAAGAGAAGGCTGCGTGGAGACCTCATAGCAGCTTCCAGTATCTGAAGGGGGGCTATAGGGATGCTGGGGAGGGGCTTTTCATCAGAGACTGGAGTGATAGGACAAGGGGTGATGGGTTCAAACTGGAAAAGGAGAAGTTCAGGTTAGATATAAGGAGGAAGTTCTTTACTGTGAGGGTGCTGAGGCACTGGAATGGGTTGCCCAAGGAAGGTGTGAATGCTCCATCCCTGGCAATGTTCAAGGACAGGTTGGACAGAGCCTTAGGCAACATTGTCTAGTGTGATGTGTCCCTGCCCATAGCAGGAGGTTGGAACTGGATGATTTTAAGCTCCTTTGCAACCCAAACCATTCTCTGATTCTGGGATTCTATGATTAACCATCTGACACATTTGCTGTTACCAAAACACAGGGATTTTTGGCAAGGCAGGTGGACTGGGCAGGGTTAATTAGTCAGGTAAGCAACAAAAAGGCTTCTTTTGTGTTGCTAAACTGCTGTCAGGAGCTAGTGCAGTGTCAGGGCAAACCATACCCAGGTGTGATCTCTTCTATTTAACTGTGTTTTGTTCCAGCATCAGATGAAATGGGCTCAATCCTCTTCATCAAAATAGACTCAAAGTAATTGTTGGCTCTCAACATCACCAATGTTATTCATTTCCTCGTGTTTGAATTACTCTGAGCTTGCTAAAGTGGTCACTAAAGACCAGCAGCACCCAGGCAGCAGTCCTGGGCACCTCTAGATTTGTGGTTGTCTACCTTAAAGGCCTTGAAAATGGGGTTCTGCAATGGGGGCTTAAGGCAGATGCCACACACATACAACCACCCTTTCCAAATGATTCTTACACCATAGAATGGTTTGGGTTGGAAGGGGGCTTTAAAGCTCATCCAGTTCCAACTCCTGCCATGAGCAGGGACACCTTCCACTAGAGCAGCTTGCTCCAACCTGGCCTTGAGCACTGCCAGGGATGGGGCAACCACAGGTTCTCCATTCAACCCATTCCAGTTCCCCACCATCCTCACAGGGAAGAACTTCCTTATATCCAACCCAAACTTCCCCTGTTTCAGTTCTACACCAAAAGCAGGCAGACTGCTCAGGGGGTTAGCTGCTGCCTGCACCATTTTCAGCAATGCCACATCTCTCTGATCATTGTGACACACTTGAGAGTTATCTTATGAGGGCAACATCCATTTCATGAACGGCAATCCCGGACCAATAATTACACAATTGGTTCTAATTACAAGCCCAGAAGAAACTTATCAGCTCATTGTGTAACGTTAACATCTTGCAACACCCTTGGCTCAACCTACAGCTCTTGAAGTGCTGGGCAGAGGGTTTCTAGAAAGGGGTTGTCTTAAGCATGTGGAGATACCTGCCTAAGGATGGTGTCCCGGGGCTAAATGGCAAAGAAAGGGGTTTCTCTGCCTTTGCCTATAGGACTTTTTCTGCCCCATGGTTGTGGCTATAGCTGACCCCAAGCTTGTGCAATTTAGCCTGTGGGGTGTTGATGGAGGGTTTTGGGCCTCCATGGGAAGGTGGTGTGGAGGCACTGCAGATGCCTGAAGTGGCCTCCTAAAATCTCAGCATTCTCTATTCTCTCTTTTCCTTTGGATTCCATAGAGGAGAATGTGTCAGTGCCCACTCCTATTGTCTGTTTCCAGGCCGGGTGACTTCAGGACTATTAGACCAGCACAAAGTGTCTTGTTTTGTGATATGAAACTCAAGGTGAAAGAAAACCCATGGACACAAAACTCTCATGAACTCCAGGTTGTAATGGCATCTATATAGAATGATACAGAGGAACATACACAGCTTGTTTTAGCACCCACAGATAAGCTCATCAAAGGTACAGAACTCGCCAAGGGAGGGAGAGGAGAAACTTTCTTTGGAGGTGGCTGGAGGACATGCAAAGCTTTCGGAACTCAGCACAAGATCAAGGACATGCATGTGTATAATGCATACACAGCGTCCTTATCACTTCATCTTTGAGGATACTTGATAAATCTGCTGCTGGCAATCCTGTGGCTTTCCATGGCAGGATCCCATTCTGCTCCTGTAGCATCTGGATCCACCACTGCTCCCATGGCATCCAGATCCACTGCTCCCATGGCATCTGGATCCACTGCTCCTGTGGCATCCAGATCCACCGCTCCCATGGCATCCAGATCCACTGCTCCCATGGCATCCGGATCCACTGCTCCCATGGCATCCGGATCCACTGCTCCCGTGGCATCCGGATCCACTGCTCCTGTGGCATCCGGATCCACTGCTCCTGTGGCATCCAGATCCACTGCTCCTGTGGCATCCAGATCCACTGCTCCCATGGCATCCGGATCCACTGCTCCTGTGGCATCCAGATCCACTGCTCCCATGGCATCCGGATCCACTGCTCCCATGGCATCCGGATCCACTGCTCCCATGGCATCCGGATCCACTGCTCCTGTGGCATCCAGATCCACTGCTCCTGTGGCATCCAGATCCTCCACTGCTCCTGTGACACCCTTCACTGCTGTGGCATGAGGATCGTTCTTGCCGGTGGCACTGGTCTTTGTCCTGGCAGGAGCACATCTTCAGACCTGCTGGGAAGACCATGATCCTTGAGTGGGTGCAAGGCAGGAGATGCTGTGATGTCTGCCAGCTGGCAGCAATAGGTGGCTAGTTAGATGGGATTATATATCCAGAATAAATTCTGATTATAAGGCAGTCTTGTAGAAGAGAGGAAAATCAGCTATTCATTTCTGCCCATAGTGGTCCCTGACCTGTACAGAGCACTCTGTGCTACCCTTCTTCGAGCAAGTCTTTCCTTCCTCTTCTATGTTTAACAAGTACATAAGACAGAAGTTAAAGCACTTTGTGACTAGTGACAAGAGGCCAGAGTCCAGAGCTAGACCTGAAGAGTCCTGTCCTAGGCTGTCTGAGCCAGTAAGTTTTAAGTTTTCTTAGTTGCTTTCCATTATTTATGGATAGACATGAATATGGATGGAGAAGACAACCCAGGCAGAAGGACTGAGCAACTGTGACTGGAGATAAGACGTGTAATAGAAGTAATCGAGAACCTCAGGATCAGGACAAAGCTGGTGATCATGAAGAGTGCAAAAGTTTGCTCAAGCTGCACTTACCCTGTTCAGCAGCAGTTGGAGAGGAGATGTGAAGCTGAGGCTATGAGGAGAAATGGGCTGCGAGAGCTTTTATAGGGCACCTGATGTTCTCCCTCCAGAAACAAGATGAGGCCCCACTGGAGGGACTTGATTCTTTGACTCCCGGTATTGCAAGCGGATCAATATCCTGCCATTCCTCTCCTTACTCCATAAAAATGTTGATTGCCCACCACACCTGGATGGGGAGGTTTCTGGATGGTCCTGCTGCCTTTGACTAAAGCATTTGCTTCCTTCTTGTGCCTAATGCGAAGCAGAGCCTTGAGCCCCAGTCGGCAATGCAAAGACGTTAGTGGATGGGAAGGTGGAATTGGTGGGGTGAGCAGTGGGTTGGCTTACAAAGGGGTCCAGGAAATGCAAAGGGCTTGAAGAAATAAGAGCAAACAAGGCCATGGTGGTGTGTAGGCAAAATAAGTGCATTTGGGCAGGTTGGGAATAAAAGATCTAGGTTGTGAGTAGGCGAAGGAGACAAAGGGAATTAAGGATGCAGGTATGAGCACGTGATGGGGTGGCAGAACATGAGCACAGAGCCTGGGGCTGGTCCATGTGGGGGGTGCCCTGAAAACAAGGGGTGTGAAGGAGTGTGAGCATCCTCCTCTGAGCCCTAGGGGCCAGCACTGGCCATGCATCTCCACTGGGGTGATGGAGCTCAGCCCTGGTGGGTTACAAAAGGAGTTGAGTCACCTCTGGGCTCTTAAAGCTGTCCTGAGGTTTGGGGTTCACAGGTGGGCAATGATGATGAGAGACTTTGAAGCAAACTCCTGCTGGATTCATCCAGTTGAAGTGGGAGGGGGAGAACGCAGGAGGTGGGACATGGCTTGGGAGTAGCACCAAAGAGAAACCTGTTTCTGAGAAAACAGCACGGAAGCACTAAAAGGAGCTTTGGAGTGTTGCAATATTTCAAGTTAGTCCTTTCTTTGCTCCAAAGAAAGACTTTTAACCCAAAGAGAAGGATTTGAAAACCCCGTAAGAGGCAGAGATCATTCAGGCAGGAGGCTGGGAAGGACAGAAAGTCTCCAACAGTGTCCCAGTCCCAGGATACTTCTTCCAATATCTAATATTGGTTACCTTTATTACACTTTGATTGGAGATAAAGGTAGGGAGGGAAGTGCTGGGACTTCCTGAGCTCTGTCCTCCCTCTGTCCTCACACCTACATTTGGGGAGGGCACCAGGATCTGCATCTCTATTGATTTAAGCTCTGCCTTGGGGAAAAGCCTTTTTGCCTACCGAGTGCACCAGGCGTGATGTCAGCAGGACTCTAGAGGCCACTGTCATATTAATAATGGCACCGGTTGATTGACTTAAGATGAAGAGATTCATTACTGACTCAGTTGAGGGAATGGGTACATGAGGAAATCAGAATGTGTCTGGGGCTATTTCACCAGTGTCAGAAGAAGGAGTTTTCTTGTGAAACTATTATTCACGATCCACTGATCACACCCCAGAGCACGTGGATGGTGACAAACATGTTTATAATGTCTCTCGGCGATAGAGTATGATCCCAGATGGGAGGATGCTCACGCATTGTCAGCGACCTGGATGCATGTATAAGGCAGGACAGGGCTGATGCTACAGATGGTCTCTGAGCCCCATATATCTTCTGCAAAGCTCCTAATATTAGGGGAAGGCTTCCCTGTGACCCTTGATCCTATTCAGAGTGAAGAGCAGGGTTTTAATTTGGGTCATTTGTCAGTTTTATGGAAGGAATTGCCTTTGCAGTTGTCCCAGGTCTCAGAGATGGTTTGTTCCCTAATTGGGATTATAGTTTCTGGGTGGCGTATACATGGTCATGATTCTTTCATATGTCAGTTACTGGTTTTCTATTTATGAAGGAGATGAATGAAGCACAGAATGAACCCAAGGCCTTAGAGGGTCTGGAGTACAAGTTCAAACCTCCACTTCCCTGAGAGGTGTTTTAAACACAAAGAAGATCTGTTTTGGACAGGGGTTGCTCATGTGAATTCCCTCTCATTAGAGATTAGACAACTGCATGTCAAATTAGATTAAGCAGAACAAATCCTGCTCTGGGGTGTGGGAAATGGGAGCTGCCCTCCTGAGGTCTCCTCCAACCCAATATTCCACAACCCAGCTTGCTCCAGAAGGGATTTGAAGGTGGATTTGGATGCTTTTCTACCCCCTATCCTTTATTGCAATAGTTCTGCTGGCACCTTTCTTTCCACAGAGGTCCCCAAGGCTTGCACAAGAGACGTTGCATGCACAGGGGTAGCTGAGCCATTGCAATGCACCACGCATCCTGGGCCACCCCGGCAAGCCATGCTTGGGATGGTGACTGTGTGCTCTGCAATGCAGGCTGGCATCAGCCTTTGCACATGTGTGAGAAAGAGGTTGGCAAGGAATGTTTACTGGGCATGTCGTCAGCCCCTATGTGTCCTCCTATAACACCTCTGTCCCAGGAGGGTGCACCCTGCACCCAGTTTTACTTCTTTTCCTTATCCAGATCGTGCTGCAGGAGAAATCTCCACCACTAATGTTGCAAAGCACCTGATTCCGTGATGTGTCACATCCTGCAGGCTGGGCCAGGCAGGACACGGGGAGATGGAGACGATGGAGGCTCTTGCCTGGACTGGGTGAGGTACAGGGAGCCACTGGGGGCATGATGCTGTGAGTCACAGACTCCAGATCCCTGCTTTCCTGCAACCATCCAACCAGGTGATTCCTCTCATAGCCCTATCAGGCCATATCCCACAAGGAGTTTGGGGCTTTTCTTCCTGTTAGAGAGAACAGGTCCTGCCAAGTGCTCTCTGATGTCTACAAACCCTTTGCTAACTTCCATTTGACACATATTCTTGGCCAGATGATCCACACTTCTCCCAAGGTCAAAGTCTTAGAAGGAGTCTCATCCATCCTGGTCTTTCCCAACATCTCTCATCAGTCAGAATGAGATCAGCATGAGATCCTGGTCTTTCCTAACAGCTCTTATCGCTCAGAATGCACCGAGCATCACTATCAACTGCTGAAGCCACATAGCAGGAGCTGCCTCCCTTGGGATGAGTCAAGGTCTAATGGACCATGGACCAGAACATTTCTCTTCCAGCAGCTTTGGCGTTGTCTCTTGTTCTGCACTAGCCATGGCATTCCCATTCCTGCATCCTCTTCCTGACTTTTTTCCCAGGGCCTTCTTGGAGGCTTATGAAGCAAGTCAGACTGTACCAATTGCTTAGTCAGTGGATGGAACGATATGCCACGCAGACCCTCTCATTCTTAGCTCTGATGAAATGCGTGGCTTTTCTTTTTGCATTAGGATATTAGTATTTAATTGCTGGATTGCAGAAAGAGCTTGTGATGAAAACTATTAGTTCTTAAAAAGGAAGTTGTAAGGTTGAATCAACCAGGAACCTCAGTATGAGGTGAACAGGGACACTGCAATCACCAGCTTTGGCCACAAGAAGGAACAGAGTTAGTTCAAAGGGATGAAGTGGAAAACACTGATGCAAGGGGGGTATGAACCATAGTTTTTTTATTGCCTCCACATCTGCTGTGAAATAAGGACGGGAACAGCACTTAATGTTTCACAGGGACGGTGAGTTACACTTTCAAAGCATGTTACAAGCAAAATGACAGGAAGAGTGGAGATGCATGAACAAGGCAGGACATGCCATTCATCAAGGCAATGTTGCAAGAGGGAGAAGGTTCCCCCATTCATCCCCATTCCTCATGTCCTCTATTTTGTCTTCTGGGCTGGCACTTTGCAGACCTGCTTTTGTTGCTGGCTTGGGATGCACTTTGCAGCAGGCACGCAGCCTTGCTGCACCGGAGAGGGACAGGTCTGCACTGGGGGGCACTGGGTGATGCACTGCGTTGGCTTGCTGTAGCATGGCTTCCCACCTTGGTACCCTGATCCATGGCACGTCTCAGAGCAGACGGACCTCCCATAGCTCTGGCATCCCCCCGATGACCCATAGCTGTACGTGGGTCTCCTGACGCAGCTTGAACCACCTCCGTGGCATGAACCTGAGGATCCATGGCATCTCTCGGAGCAGACGGACCTCCCATAGCTCTGGCATCCCCCTGACGACCCATAGCTGTACGTGGGTCTCCTGACGCAGCTTGAACCACCTCCATGGCATGAACCTGAGGATCCGTGGCATCTCTCGGAGCAGACGGACCTCCCATAGCTCTGGCATCCCCCTGATGACCCATAGCTGCACGTGGGTCTCCTGACGCAGCTTGAACCACCTCCATGGCAGGAATCAGACACAGCATAGCCGTGGCACCTCTCGGAGCAGACTGGCTGCCGATAGCCATAGTGACGGTAGTTGTGCCCTCTCATCCCTTCAACGCCTTCACCGTCGCACCCTGAGCAGCAATTGTTGTAGCCATAGCGGAAGGGGGTGCGCCGGGTGTCCAGCCAGGAGCCTGAGGGATCGTACCAGGTTGAGTTCAAGTTGAAGTATGATTCCCTTCCAGAAGAGTAGATCATGTTTGAGTCGTAGGGGAACACCTGCAAAACACACAGTCAGGTATGTCTGGACGTCCACCTCTTCTCTTTCCATTCAGTTTGCCATAAAGAAGGTTTAGTGAGCCAGGAACAGGTCAACCTTGCTTATCCTGAAAGCCTGGATCCAAAGACAGTTCTTGGAGCTGCCCAGTACTGATCACATCATGTCCAAACCCCCTTTCTGACCTTACCCTCACTTTTTCCCTCTCCAGGAACAGAAACAAGCATAAAAGCATTGCAGAATTTAGTGGCATTGCTGTAGATCCCACACCCAAGTCTCTCAATAGCTTCTTCCTTGGCTTTGCCCATTGTCCTCTAGCCCTGGTGGTCTGAAACAGGGGGCAAATGTGCCAGGTCTGTGACCCCCTGAATCCAGACACCCATCCAAAAATGAACCTGGGATGTTTCTTACCCAATTCACAAGGGGTGGCAGATGCTGACCAGGGGAACAGATTGTGAGAAGCAAAGGGCTGGAGGCCTTTTATATAGTTCCAAGTCTCTCCCATTGTAATGAAACACGCTGCAGGAACGAGGATTAAATGATTTATTGACAAAACACCTCCTCCATTTGGATACTGTTCCCAGCACTTGGCATGCTCTGCTTGACTCGTGATTCCTGATAAGCATCTCTTAATTATAATTATATATATTATACAACAGTTACCAAGTGGTGCACATAAAGGATTAATATCATGTCAACCACACATCAGCTATGTGAAGCAGGTAATAACGTACTTATTCACTGTCTCCAGAGGACCAGGACACTGACTGGAGGCTGATGAGTGACCTGTGAGTCAGGAGCCATGATGTGGACAGTGCTAATGTCCTGGCCTTCCCCTTCTTCTACTACCCATGAGGAGCATTTCCAGGTGCCTGAAGCACAGACAGGTGATTGGGAAGAGCCAGTTCAGAGTCACCAAGAACAAATCGTGCTGATGGGTTTCGGTGATGAAGGCATTGGCTCTGCTGACAGTGGAGTGTGATGGATGGTGCTACCTCAGCTTTTGAAGGCTTTTGGCACGGTTTCACATAGCAACCGTGTAGTTAAGCTGGTGGAGGTGTGGACTGGATGGGTAAACTAAACAGTGGATGACTGGTGCTGTGTATCATCTTCATCAATGCTTTGGGTGGACTTGGCTAATCCAGGTGACGTCAAATTAGGGTGAGCAGCTGAAACTGCTGGACATGGATTGGCTGGAAAAGTCCATGGACTAACTGGGATGGGGTGGCTGGCAAAAAGCACCTTGGAAGGAAAAATGGATCAAAGCTGATATGCTGTGAGGGTTATGCTGGCTCTTGGTCTGTGGGCTCTGATCAGCCCTTTGGACACCACACTGGGTCTGTGTCTGGGAGCTGGCTTCAGCAAGAAGAGGCTGAGGGGAAAATAGCTGATAAAGTAAGGAATTTCTGAGGCTAAAGTTCACACGTTAAGTGGTTTTATTTGTTTGGTTGAAATTAGAGAAAGAATAAATTATTGTGGTTTTCTGCACCAAGGAAACAAGACTGAATTTCTCTTTTCCTTCTGGTTTTCCTTGGTGGTTGCTAGCGGCTGTGGGGACACACTTGGGCAATACAAAGAGACACGGAAATATGTTTTAATGCACTAGTGAGAGGTTTTTCTGGCAAAGTGAGAGAGAAACAGCACGTTACCATTGTGCATTTGGGTGCTGTGGGGGAAGAGCCTGGCCTGCATCTTCCTGCATGGAGTGAAAAGGCATTCCTGGTATGCACAGACACACCTCACGTGCTGGAGCACACCCTTATTATCATGATTAACATTCGTATGATGGATGGCCTCCTGGTGCAGTGTTACTATCTAGTCAATGATGGCATGCATTAGAGAGCAAACAGTTTGTACCTAGATCTGGACCATAGTGAAGTCCATGAATTGGTTCTGTGGTGGGTAACCACAGCGGAGAGGATTTTACAGCACACAGATGGAGGTCAACGTGGTCAGACTGCTACAGCCAGAGCCAAAATCCTCGCGAGTAAACTCTGGCTTTGATTTTAAAGGTACAAGTTTCCTCATGAGAACTTTAATGACTTTTAATGTCTCATGGTAATGTTTGTAATAATTCTAGGGTTAAAAATAAAGGAACCAAGTGTCAGCTAAGGTTTTTCCACTTTATTCTTGAATATACAGAGGAGGAAATAAAATCTCAGGAGTCCTTAATGCTCCTGCCATCGCAGTGTGTACTGTTTAACCAGTATAGTCCTGTTTTCAAAATCAGAGCAGGTGAATCCATGTCAGGCTGTTTTCCCATCCTTCCTCAGGCTCTTTCCATTCCGATTCTCCATCCCCATGCTGCTCACCTTCTCAGAGGAAGGGAGAAACGGCTGCTCCACCCTGAGGAAGAGCAAAGTGGGGTTGAATGATTCAAGTCTATTCCTTGGCATGGAGGACCCTGAGAATTTAAAGTGTCAGTGCTGGGGTCAAGCAGGGGACTGCGGACCCTGAATCCAGTGTGCAAAGAGCAGCAAGGAGCCATCAGCCACCGCTTTTGTGCTGAAAGCAGAGGTGAGAACAGTGATGAGGCGAGGAGTGAAGCATCCTCCCCTCTGAGCATGTGCTGAGGAGGGGTCCCAGCACATCACTTCTTCTGCAGACAGGGTGGCAAGAGAGTGACCTTCTTTTGCTGGTGCTGGCTGGGATGCTGTGGCAGGGGCACAGCAGCCGGGCGGCAGTGCTGGACCGGCGGGCAGCAGCACGGGCTGCAGGGGCAGCGATGCTGCAGCGGCAGGGGATGCAGTATCACGGGGGGACGAGCATCCTCTACTGGGCACTGGTCCACCCTCCTCCGGGGCTTGCCGCAGCATCCCGGCTCCTCGCAGTGCAGCGGTGGGCGGTACTGCTGCAGCGGCCGGCGATGGATCTTCACTGGTGGGGGGCAGATGGGCTGCACATGGCTCACCTCCACCCGCCGCCGGGGCTTGTTGCAGCTCTGCTGCGGTGGGCAGTAGCTCTGCGGTGGGCACGGCTCCAGGGGCTGGCAGCCCTGAGGCTCGCTCTGGCAGGACCCCTCAATGTCACGGCTGAGGCTGCCGGAGTCGTGGCAAGGGGGTAGGTTTGTGGTGCCCATAGGGCTTTCGTGGCAGCACCCTGTCCAGCCCTTCTCGCCACAGACCGAGCTGTCGTGGTACAAGTCCTGGTTGCTGTCTCCTTTCTGGTAGTGCATCTTGTGTTCAGCCAAGCCCCTGGGGATAAATAGCCTGGGAAAAAAGCAACAAGCCCCACTGACTTCCTTTTGGTTTGCTGCTTCTATGAATAAAAATGAAGAATCCAAATCAGCTGAGAGAATCCAACTCACCCTGTGACCGGGGATAGATGGGCTGAGCAGAGAGTCTGAGTCCTGAGGACAGGGCTGAAAGCTTTTATATGCAGCCAAGCTCTCTTGGAAATGAGGCATGCCCTGGGAATTAATAGCTGAGCAGTGAGTGCCACTTCTGTATGGATATTTTTTCTGGCACTTGCTGTTGTATTAATCAGCAGCAATTAGCATCTCCCTTGATGGAAGCTGTCAGCTTAGCTCTTTGCATATGCAGTGGCCATTATCTAATTAGTTCTCTCATTGGTCATGTTCAAATACGCTGTTACTAAGGTTAGTCAGGTGGGATCCTGGCATCAGGATACCTGGAATACCGTGATGTTGAGTGATGTGCCCAAAAGCAGTCTCTCTGGCAGTGGGAAAGCCACAAAAAGGCCCAGGAGTTCTGGCGTCCAGTCCCATGTGCAGGCACCCAGCAGCTGATGCTTTGAAACAAGGCTTTGCAGATAGGGCAAGCTTGGACCTTATTTTTCCCAGAAGGTCTGTGATATGTGGATATGATGCTCATCACCTTCCAGAGCATAGAAAAACTGAAGAAATGGAGAGATGGTGAGGAAATTGAGGGTGACATCAGGACCATGTTGAAAGGCAGATATTCTTGGCCTGTGTGGGGTACTCCATCAAGTGAGTGGGATCAACAACGAAAGCCCTTTTATGCTCTTTAAATCTGGAACAAGGGCCTTATGAAATACGCATTTCAGGCTTTGTCAAGCACCATATCCACCTCTCTGATTTCTGCTTGAACTCCTCTTCTGCGTAGCTTCTCCCCTTTGCATTTCTGTGGATGGTCAAGGCATTTTTTAAGTACCAGCCCCAGGGCTGTCAGTGCAAAAGGTATTTCCATGTGCACACGCTATGGTAGAGCCTCCGTAGGAGATGCTCAGGGCTTGGTCCAGTGGTGTTTGGGTTTGAATCACTGGGCAAAGCATGTGCAGAATTCAGGGTGTGACTCCAAGGCGCGTGCTTGGACTTTGCTGCCACAGAGGTTATTTATTCCTTAGCTACAGGAAAAGTGCCATTGCCTTGCAGGAAACCATGGGGCGTGCGTGGAAGGACGGAAAAGACCTTGGTATCTGTTCAGGCCCAACAGGGATTTTAGGTTTCTTACTGCAGTCCCAAGATTGTGCTGTTTGGGGATTTTTTTTTATGTTGGAAGAGGTGTTTTGGAGTCACTTCCCTTCCTGAGGATTTTACAAAGCAGGAAGTGCAAATATTTAAGTTCTTGTCTCTTAAAATTTGCCACATTTCAGTAGTATTCCAGATAAAGTTAGGCAGTATTCCTGAATCCCTCAGGCTACACTTGTATCTCCGTATCTTTCAATGAGTACCTCCCTGCACCATGCAGGCCATGCTTGGTGTTATAGTTAATCATACAGAGAAGGTATCAAACCTTTTAAGAAGCTCATCAAATTCACCAATGGAAAGATTTCCATTAACAAAAGAGACCTTTAGCTCTGGCTTGAGGACCATACAGATGTTTCTATTGCAAACTGTGTATCTTTAAAGGTAGCATGGAGCTGCATGGCCAGGAGGATGCTCCTGTAGCTTAGATAACGTATTGTCACTAGCAAGAACTATGACGAAAGACAGACCCAAGGATTTTACTACGTAAACTGGGGTGCTGTCATCATAACATGACAAATAGCTGAAAAATTC